ACTTCAAGTGGTAATTAAGTTCTCCAAAGTCACATAGTGTTGAGAGTGGAAAACTGGGAACTGGGCTCTGCTTTTCTATTTCCACTGGCTGCCTTTTCCATGATTGTTCCTTCAGTATTAAGTGCTTCTTAGACTGTAGCACTCTGTCTCCAGGCATAAAGTCTCCAAAATATCAGGGTGACAGTGATCCCAGCAAAAGTGCCAGGGCCTGGTTAGAAGTGGGGAATAAAACCCAATAGCAGTGGAAGCAGAAGTGTGCCTACGGGGAGCAGGAATTTACACAGGCATGTTTTCTGTAGTACATTACAGTGCCCAGTGGAAGAGTCTGCCAATAAACAGAAAAAATTGTGATGCTGCATGGTAACTGAACCTGAAGTTTCCCATTAGCAGACTCATAAAAGGCATCTCCAAGCAATACAGGAAGGAATTTGCTGCTCTTTTGCTTATGATTATCTTGATTTCTAAATTTCTGGGTTTTTGATTTACATTTTTCAGTTTAAAAAAAGTAGGCATGCAGTTAATGGGCATCTTTTATTTGTCTATTTTTTCAGGTTTTGGTTGTAGCTAACATAACTTTAAACATTTAAATTCTTTTCTTTGTGTTTTTCTGTTTTTTGTATTGATAATATCATTATCATCAAAATACAAGATACCCAAGTTTTAAGCACAGTAAATAGATAGTTTATAACCTAGGGTGACAAATCAAAATATTTGGGGTTAAAAGTAACAGAAATACCCAAGTAGAAAGAGCCCGGACAGTGCCCGCCTCTAGAGAAAGGCTGGTCTAGAATTGGAGCCATATCAGAGTTATGGGCTGACAGTTCTGTGATTCTCTTGGCCTTCTTCTCATGATTATGAGTTTGCCACAGCAGCTCTTAGTGTCCTATCTTTACATAATAACTTCACAGGCAGGAAGCAGACAGAGAGTAGAAAAAGGACCTTCTCCCTAAGTTACTCCTGCCCTTTTCATGGAGAAAAACCTTTCCAAGAAGTATCCCCAGCAGACTTCTTGTACCTCTCGCTGCTCAGATCTGGATCACATGTCTGTCCGTGAACCAGTCATTGACAGAGAAGAGAATTGCCACAGCTGGCTCAGCCTGGTAACAAGTCATTCCCGGAGTACACACATTTTTAGCAACCTCCGCAAGTTAGAATTCTGTTATCAAGGAAAAGAAAGACTGGCTGTTCAACAGGCAACAGATAGCATCTGCCACAATTATTGAAATCTTAGCATGATCAAATAATCACAATGTTATATATGTGGAATTTGTAGAAGTGTGGAATTAACAACTCTAATGAGTATAAAGAAGGAGTGACAGGTGCTGTAAAAGTGTAAACTAAAGGGATTAAATCTAGTCTGGCCACTCCAGTTCTTCAGAGAATTGATCATTAAGCTAATATGTGTAGAAAATTTTAGAAGTAGGCAAAGTGATTGAGGGATACTAGAGTGAGTGAGGAGAAGGAGAGGGAGCATTCCAAGTAGAGGAAGCATATTATGTTTATGTAACTGAAGGAAGGTGCATAAATGTTCACTGCTGTTATTACTAGCTTCTAGTCTGATGAAGGCCTTTGAATTGCTTGTAGGGGAAAAAATTCTTAGACTTATAAGTAGAATCCTGAAATATTGGAATTTCTGAAAGTTTCACATGCTTAAAGGGGACAACAGGACAGGTTATTTGATTTGGATTGTCCTAGAAAACCCTTGGTATGGACTTGCCATATGTAATGCTCTATAGGCAATGATCAGTTTGTTACTCCTACCCCTTCCCTCTAATAATTTTCTGCAGTGAGAATCTTTTGTTGACATCAATTAAAAGCAGTAAGAACAGCACCCTCACTCTTCTCCATGTTGACAAATCCTTTTGAAACACTCACCTCATTAACCTATAGTTCATACTTACATGGTTCCCATTAAAAAATTTTTAATACAGTTGAACAGTAAGCAAAAAGCAGTGCTCTCTGAGGCTTTGTGGTTTCCTCATAAAAGACAATAAAAAATTTTTAAATAATAAAAAAGTAAAAAGTTCTGACTTTAATGTATATAGAACTTTCATGGACACTGGGTTATTTCCTCTAAGTAGAGAACAGTAGTTTTATTAATTCGTCCAGGGTGACAGAACTCTAACCAATAACAAAAACTGCCTTTTTGTTTTGAAAATATGCAAGTCTATTAATAAAAAAATGAATATTTTAATACATGTTAATTATTTTAGAAGTAATATATGATACTTAAATTCTTCTAGCATCTACCCTTTATGGTTTTTAAAGTCATAAAGACTTTTCAGGTTTAAATATTTGGAAGTATCTGTTTAAGTCTTTTTTAATGTGACAGTATTGTGACAGCTACACTGACAAGACTCCAAAATAGTGGTGGCTGAAACATGGTAACAGTTTGGGGTTGCTGTGGTGTTACTGGATGTGTGTACCTTTAGCCCAAGGGGTGGCCAAAGGCTATTATTCTAATAACAGCTTGTCTCTCAGATAAACTTATTTTTATATAAGAATATATAAGAATGGCTGCTTCAGCTCCTGGAATCACATTTACATTCCAGCCAGTGGGAAGAAGAGGGAAAAGAGAGAGAGATACTTATTCCTTTAAGGGCTTAACTCAGATGTTTTACATATTACTTCTGCTTTCATCCTTTTGGCAATAACTTAGTCACATGGTCACAGCTTGCTACAAGAGAGGTGGGAGATATTCTGGAAAAATTATCTTACCTAGACAGCAATGTGTGCATAGAAAACTCAGAGATTCTATTTCTAAAAGAAAAAAGGAGAGAATGGATATTGGAAGACAGACACTCTGTGCTATATTCACCATCTTTTGGCAGTTGCCAAAGGGGCTGGTTGATTAGCTTTAAGCTTAGATGTAAATATGTAATCAGGGAGCAAGATGAGGTCTCCAGAGACACACTTATGCTTATGCATCTTATACTCACTCCATATAACCTTACTTTATGCATTTTTATATCCCTACCATCTAGCATAGTATACTAGTGAAAATAAGCACATAAGAAATGTGTTGATAGTTGAGTAAAAGTTTGTCAGTGATGAGCTGGAGGAAGGGCATTCTAGGCTGAGGATGCTGGATGCAGGCTGTGAAATCAGGTGCTGAAGTTGATTTGGTGAGAGTGAAGGATACCGTGTGGGTTAGAGATGGAGCTGGAGAGCTGGGTCGCAGCGTCCCCTCGCCCACCATACACAATGCATAGGAGTGTGAACTTGATGGTAGTGGTTCAGAGTGAATATGTTAGAATATCAGGAAAAGAAGACAAACACAGATGTGAGTCTGTCCTTTCAGTGAACTTGGTTATAAAGCCAGGAAGAAAGAGAAATAACAAGAGTAGGTCGTAGATTTTAAGGAAGGCTCTTATTTAATTTTAGAGCACTTCCGTGCAGAAGGCAGGAGGTACATGTGGAGACCCAGATATTGAAGATACAGTAGAGAGAAGGAGTAAATGATCCAGCCTAGTTTCAGGGGCAATGAGAGAAGTCTGTTTAGGACATAACGGAAGGAAGAACAACTCTCATAAGGTAAGAAGGAGATAAAAATGTGTGTGGAGGCCCAAATTTCCCTCAACAGACATTTGTAGAGTCCTCACACCAGGCAGGATGGGTGCTGTGTACATACAGTAGCTACGGAGGCTAGTAAGGCACAGGCTCAGGGAAGATAGGCAAGAAACCACAGGATGCAGGTAGGTGTCATTTAGAGCAATGCACAGGCGTGCTGGGAACAAAGAAGAGGGCACAAAGCAAGGCTTCCAGAATAGGAGAGAAGACAAAAAGTGAAATGGGCTTGCACCAGAAATAGAAGTCAGGGACCTCTGAGAAGAGGACTGATATGAGGACTGTGGTGGGGCCAGGGCTGGGGAAAAATGTGAACCTGATTACAGTGGTGCTTATTGATAACTGTGGTGGTAATAACAATTTTTTGTTTTTACAATTATTGATTTTTGTTTAAGCGTCAAGTTGAAACTTTGAGAATCCTTGACAAAATGGATTTTTATGACAAAGGAAGCTGCTTCTTGCTTATTCTTCCCCCTCCTCCCTTTGATGACTTCTCCTGAAGCTAATTTAGGTGAAGAAAGCCACCGCGTCCAAAGTGCTTTGGTACCCTGGCATAATTTCAAAGAAATCTCCTTTCCCACTTAGTTAACTACATTTCCCCAGGAAAAAAAACTCTCTGTCAATGTAACATCCTTTAACAGGACTCCTGCTGGTCGGTTCTTGTATCTTGCTGTGGCAGCTGTGAACATATATACTATTGATTGTTAATGTGTGATATAAATCCAACTGGAGCATGCCCACTAATTGGTTTGAGAGCTAGATATAGACAATGCTGTCTTATAGTGGCCTGTGTAGATAGGCCTAGTCACAGGGTTAATTCTGCTTGACAGCACATAGCAGCATCTTGAGAGTAATTACCCAACAGAAGTTTTCCCACAGCCGAACCGAGAGCTTCAAAGGCTTCTGAATTTACAACCAGTATTAACCTATATCTGAAACATGATGTTCCCACAAGGGCTCAGAGTTTTTTTCCTTCTTATTAAATGTATGGGGTTACTAGGTTCATTTACTCTGTGAAGAACTTAGTGAAAAATTACTTGGTGTTGAATAATTGAAAATCTTTAATAAGTAAAGAGGATCATTTTAAATTTGAGTTTTTAATTTTTTTATTATATTACTGAAACAAGTTAATCTTTAGGGATTGGGTGCCTTTTTTTTTTTACATACTTTATCCTCTTTGTCTCAAAAACATGCTAAAAAAGTTAGTATCTTTTCCATACTGTGCTATCTCTATGGATATGTGCATGTTTAGGGGACCTAGGGTAATGGATGCCTTTAAAATGGTTAAAGTAAATGTGTATTTACATTTTAAAAAGCTATTTTATGTGTTAACTTATGTACTGAAATCTAACTATTGTGCACCCCCCTCCCCCAAAAATAATAATTATTCTTTAGCAAGCAATTTTTATATTGTAAAAAATTTCCCTTTGCAGGTCAGAAACCAAATTTGACTCCGGGTCAGGTATGTTTACATTAATAATGTTATTCTGAGTATATTTTATTTACATTATTCTCTGAGGAGTGACTCATCAGATCAAGAACCATTTTGATTTTAAACAGACTGGGCAGCCTTTTTTCAAAACATGAGCCCCACCTCAAAGCAGGGCTATTGGTTGCTTGGAATGATAACTTGAGATGTTCACTTTGGGATTCTTGATAGCTCTGCAATAAGCATTAAGTGCTCTATATGTGCAGAATTCCTTTTTAAAAGCAGAGGTGAGGATTATACTACTTACTGCTCAAAATAGAATATTATTCTCTCAGTGGACAAAGCATGCTGAATAATTTGAAGATTCTCTGGAAGTGGTTTGTCATCCAATGTGTGTTAAAGATACATTTAATCCAGCAAACTATAATGCAGTTTAGACAATAGAAACAAATATATCTGTGACTTATTAGTATTTTTTGTTGTCATTTTGTTGAGGGGAATGAAAAATTCAGGTCACCTTAAGCCATTATTTTGTATCTATCAATAAAGACAAAATTTATATTCTCACAAACAGAGGCATATCAGCCTCATTAGATGTTTTCTTCTCATTAAGCATGAATGCAGCCCTATAATCCTTAGGTTTGATTGTGTCTTTATGTCACTTGCTGAGATTTATTATGTCACATGCTTCAGAATTTCTGATGGTGTTTACAATGAAACCACAAAAATTGCTTCATGTTCGGTACAATGGAATTGTACCTTCAAGTGAATTGTTAATAGATAATAAGCATTAACTTTCAATTCCAAGAGAAAATAATTTGCAGAAAAATATATAACTTACTGAATTTAAAAGTAACACTCTTACTCTTATAATGGTATGTGTTCCATTATATTTTAACTTAAAAGACATGTTTGTTTATTATGGTTGCAGAGTAACCAAGGACTATATATATTCTTTGGATAGTGGTGTTAAGGAGTTGGTCTTCTTGTCTTCTTCAAAAGCTTCATCTTTCTTTTATTGTATAGCTTTATGAATTTCTCCAGCTTGGTAAGACTCTTCAAATAGGAAGTCTGTATATTTGAGTTAACATTTTCACTTAATTGGGACCCATGAGTCCAGAAATCTTTCCATTCTGTATATTTTTGGGCTTCTGAATCACATGTGATGGTGACAGCCTAAGGTAAACATTTCTGGTTTACAGCTGACTATATGGAAGCTAAAGGCATGGTGGCATCGTATCTATTATTTGACTTTTTTATTGGTTCATAGGAGGTAATTCATAATAGGGTGAAAAGTTTTTAATAGTTAAAATCTTTACAATAAAAAAAAGTGAATAAAATTGATGGAGAATAAATTTTTACTTAAAAGTTAGATGTCTTTTTATCATTGCCAGTCACCAAATATTTATAAAGAGCTCACTTTGTTATGATCTAATGTAGTTCCCTAAACATCAAGTCAGAAAGTGGTTTTAGACTACAGGATCTGGAATATAGCTTTTAAAATGAAAAAGTCCAGTAGGTTCATTTTGAAGGTTTAACCTGGAAATAGTGTACAAAACTGAAATATTAGGCAGCTATTGTCAAAGTTAGAAAATCTATGATAAATTTTGAAATGCAAATTAAAATGTGTTGTTAAATTCCTGTAGTGAAGGTTGGTATTTATCATGAAGATAGTTATAACATCTGTACAGGCACACATCTTTCACTCTTGTGACTTAAGTTTTTGTCCATGAACCTTATTTTTTCCTAGTCCTAATTTTTTTGAATGTTTATCGTGGATAACACCTACATGTCTATGAAAACTACAAAGTTCAGTATTCTGAAAAATTTTATGGGGAATACTGATAAAAAGTTTATTTACTCTTTTAATTTTGATTTTACATACATTGTGAAAAATTTAAGATGGTTTCAAATTAAGAAACAGGTAATCATTTTTTCTTATAAGCTCTTCTAGTTTACTATCGAATGTAGGAATCATGACAAAGGAAGCTAAAAATGTTCTTTGGCATACTATATCATGCAAATTTTAGTTAGAAATAAGGTAGCATATTGGAACAATTAAATGTATGACTTTAATAGGTTCAGATTCTCTCTTGTTCATCAAATACAGAAAATAAACTAGGTCTGTTTAATGTTGTATACAGCTGTAACAGTGTTACTGACAAGGTAAGATTTTTGCATGAAGGAAGATGCCAGTCTTACTAAGGAAAAAAAAACCCTTAAAAAATAAATAATATGGTCAATGAATAGCCATAAAGGAAAGGATTTGAAAGTAAAAGTTTATATATACATACATACCGACATATATATATATATATATATATATGGAAAGAAAGGAAAATTTTTATTGTCAGTACAGGGTAAAAAATGTCAGTTGTGGAATATAGACCAAAATGATCAACCTGGAAAGTGATTTTTAATTTTTCTTATCAAAATTTTATCAATTTGTTTCTACCAAAGCAAATCTACAAAAAACTTAATTGGTTTTTTTTAAAGTTTCAAAAAAACTTCACAATGAAAAATTTCAACTATGTGTAAAAGTAGAGGAGGGTATAGTGTAAAGAGCACTCACATATCCATCATTTAGATTTTATTATTAATAATTTGCCATATTTGTTTTTCTTTTCTTTTTTTTCTTGAAATACTTTAAAGTAACATACATACATTTCATGTGTTTTTTTAAGCACATGAAAACTAACCTGAAAAAAATTAAAAAATTTAAACCTGAAAATTATAGATTATATTAGCTTATTGAAAAAGTTCAATTAATTTTTTGAGGTTTTCATCTATTTCCGAAATTTGGGTCACATACAAATTCTTATGGAAAAGGATGTGATGTCACCACATACACATTCAATTAAAGAGATGAAAGTTCTATTCATGGTGAAGGTTAAGAAAACCAACCAGAAGGCAGAGACACTGAATTAATTCTGATCTGAGAACCTCAGGAATGTTCTATCATCAATATTAATTGATTAAAACTTTAGCTGCAACTAGCTATATCCTCTATGTACTGAGTTATGTAATTGATTAAGCCCTGTCTCTGTTGGTTTATAACTTAATCACTTAAAGTTTTCAGTTTTGCCGGTTGAAAACAATCAGCTCACTTTCTTTCTAAAGAAGCTCTAAGATTTCTGTTTTAATATTGTTTCTCAGTTGATGTAGTAATGTTGCTTGCCTATGATAGTGTGTAGTTGGTGATTTTACTAATAGAGTAAAACAGACTTCCTTTTACATTCAGAAGTAGCAAGAAATTGTGCTCTTTTCCCCACCTCCCAAGAAGGGAAGTTAGTTGATGCTGGAGGAAGCAGAGCATTGAGTTTAATGTAGTGATTAAACATGAGAGCCATATATCAAATCTCAGGAGAAACATGCTTTTGAAAGAGGCAGAGAACTGTGGAGCATATTGCATGATAGGCTATGTAAACAGAGCCCTGGAGGTCAGTCTGTGGATGCAAACCAATTAAAAAAGAACTTACTGGCTTTGCTTTCTATCATCTGGATGGGGAGGATCACAAGTTAACATGCACAGGGTTGAAGTGTAAACTTTGCTTGAATAAGCTAGGTACCTTCGGAAACTTCATTAACTCTTTCAATTCATTACCAAGGTTTTTTGTTTTTTGTTTATCTTTAAATTTAACCAAAGTCCCTAGGAAGTTAAAAACAAAATCAAAATATATGCTTTCTTGGCCTTTCTGATACCCATCAGCAAAGGTGCTAGTGGTGAGTAGAATGGAAGAGAAGTCAGAGGAAGAACTGCTGAAAAGACCAGAGTTTACTGTGTAATCAGGTTTCAAAATGTGTCTTTTAAATCAATCCATTTGAAAAAAGCAGAGCTCTTGCAGAATAACTGAAAAAGGATGTTTCTCTCTCCTTCTGAATTCTGGGTATAAGGCTAAGATATAGTTGGACTTTACTACTAGTTACTATATAACATCAGGATATTGTTATTCCTGTTCTATTAAAATAGTTTTTTGACCAAGAAGAACCTGAAGTCTGTAAGTTAATATGTATATTAAGGACTGCCTGGAGTCTTATTCTGTGGTCCTAATTTTCTCAGGCAGTGTTTGGGTGAGAAAATGAAATACCACAGTTTCATGGTCCATAAACATTCAAAACAAAGATTTTTTTCTTTTTTCTGTAGAGTCATGTTGGCTGAGAAAGTGAATAAGCTTATGTTGAGGGCTTGTTGATTCTGGGCTGCTTGGAATAGCCATACTAAGGAAATGGGCTCATAGAACACAGCGACTCAAAGGTATAAGATTTCATGAAAGCAAATTATGGAGGATTAAGAAACCTAATGAGCATGGTTTAGTGTGGAGAGTGGAGGAGGGAGCTCACTATTAAATAAAGCCCTAGAGTGTACAAGGTTAGGAGATCCTAAAAGACACCATAATAAAAGGCACAACAGAATATAATTATCCTGCAGAAAAAAAACTCCCAACGAATAAAAAGCAGCTAGTGTCGCTTTTAAGATCTGTAGTTATAAAGGACTCTACACCAGTGTAAGGAAATCAAAGAATATAATTGGTTAAAGCTTGAGACAAAAACATAAGGGCAGTGAAAAATACAGTGGGTTGTTAATGGTGGTCACTAAGATGAAGGAAAATGAGGATTTTGAGTATAGTAGAACTAGAGTTTGAAAGCTTATTAGCAAATGCCTTTCCCAAGAAATAATAATGAAAACATTTTCAGTCTTATACATGTAAGCATATGTTAACAATACTTTTTAGTTACCACAAATCAATTTTGTCATTTAAAATTTCTTATTTTTCATAACAATGAAGAACAAAGAAATAAAATATAAATCTCTATAAGAATATTGAAATCTGTCTTTGGGCATCATTCATTAATAGAAATATGAAAAATATTGACTAATTCATCTACTCATTCATTCAACATATATTTAGGAGACATACTAGATGCCAAGGGCTGAAGTTATATACAGTTCCTTCTCTCATGAAATCTTATAGCTAACTGGTCTATTATACAAATTCACATGCATTTCTTTGCATATTTAGAAGCTGTCAAAG